GCTTCTGTTGGCTTTTGGTGACTTGTGTTGACTTTCGAAGGCTTCTGTTGGCTTTTGTTGCTTTTTGCTTTTGTGGCTGTTCGCTATCCTTGCTTTGCTTATGTGATGCAGGAAGGAAGAAAGGAAGGAGGGAAGGAAGGAAGGAAGGGAAGGGAAGGGAAGGAAAGAAGGCAGCAAGAAAGCCTGAGGGAAGGCGCCCACAACAGGACCAGAAAAAAAATCCCAAAAAAAACGGAAAAAAAATCCTTTAAAAAAAACGCGGCCCCCACAGCCCTAGAGTTCTTGGTGATCCTGACGTCGGTCAAGCAGAAGATGCAAAGCTCTTCGCAGGATCTTGAAGCTTCTTTTGAGAGTCGCCTGCAAGAAGCATTGGAGCAGTCCCTCACTCAGCATGGCAGGCATGGGGAGGAACAAGACGGTGTTTGAAGCTATGTTCAAAGGTTTTATGGGTGTGTTTGTAAAGCAGGGAGATGTCCCAAATATTTGTGGAGGAAAAAATTGACAAAAATCCAATGTTTGGAGACCTGCCTGTTAAAATACATGGCCCACCTGAGTAGATCACCAACGCCCTCACCTCAAGATGTTTTGTTCTAAGACCATTTGGTGACGACGCCCACCAACCGGGGACCGGCATGTTCTGAACGTTCGGTAGGAATTGGGCAGAGCTGAACCTTCGCTTTACTCCCCAATACAGCTTTCAGTTCTTCACTGGACCAGGGCGCTTTGTGACGTCTCCGACCGTTCGCTCCATCCGAGACTTGGCCACCTTCCGCAGATACATCGATCCTTTTCGAGAACTGGCTGGGAAGAGGGGCCGTGGACGCTCGAGCATCATTTGGCGCTACGGAATACTGGAATTGGAAGCTGTGTGGGAGCGGTTTCAAAAAGCGGTGGCCGAAATGTGGGACAAGTCAGACACAAGTCGAGGAGCGGTGATCCTGCAGAGAATGCATGATGGGTACCAGTCGCAGGCCAGTATGCGCCACCAGCACCTGCAGTATTGGGAGCGAGAGCACATGTGCATGAATGACAAGCTTGAACATCAGCCATCGAGATTCTGTCTTCGCGCCGCCAACCAGCACTCGGCACTCGACAAGTTGCCCCTTGTGAGGAAGCTGCTGCTCCGATGGCAAAAAGCCTTGAAGTGTCAGGAGCAGCAGCTTCGCGACAGGCAACGCAGGCTGCAGGTGTTGAAGCGGAGGAAACGTGCTCGCGAGGAGCGTATGAGGAGAGAAGTGTTGCGCAAGCGAATGAAATGTGATCTCACCATGGATGAGATTCTGGGTGCCTTGGCTTTAGTGCAAACCCTGTGGCATTTTAACAGTCAACCTGGAAAAAACGGTTGATTTTTGCAGGTTTGTGAATGATCCAGCCAATCAGAAACCAGAACCCCATGGTCTGGTGAAACCTACCGTTCTCACCGTTCTCGATTTCTTGAGTGATGTTCGCCGGACCCGGCATGGCCGTGTCTCCACATCTGCCAGGTCCTTGGCAGTTTTGACCCAACCAGTGACCGTCCTTGAGACCCAAACGAATGAGGTCACAAACAGAGACTCCAGTCAGAGGTCACGAACGGCTCAGGTGGTAGTGAGTGATGTTCTTCGTACAATCCTTTTGCACCCCAACAGAGGTTGAAGGACCTTATAGGATCTTATAGGCTATCCCAGTTCGGTACCCCTGTAGGGTCCTAGTTCAGGTCACTTAACCTCTCTTGGCCTGTTAACGTACCTCGCACACCGAAGCACAGCACCCGGAAGCACTTGGCGTGTTCGAGGGACCGAGCTCGGTCTGATTGGTCTCCGGGAAATTCCAGCAAGGCGTTCCTGGATCCGTGGCCGTCTAGTCCAGCCACACACCACGAGCTCGGATGGTCCTGGGTCTTTCAATGTGCCACTCTTCGACGGTTCGGGGACCATGTTCGCTTCGACGGTTCGGGTTTCGCTCTCTCGGAGCGGAGCGAACGGACGTTCCGATCGGGGAACGGTCGGGAATTGGGGGGATTGGAACAGTCGGTTCAACTCCTTCCCCCACGGCGGGACTGGCATAGTTACCCTGGGAGTCAAAGACTATAAAAAGAGGGGACCTGAAAGGGAACTTCCTTTACTTCAGCCGGTCAAAATATAGTCTTTGGACTTCTAGGGTTCACATACAGACAGACTCCCTTTTCAACCCCAATTGATCGGTCAATATACCAGGAGTCACGTGAATCAACGGGGGTGGTGTGGCTCGTCCCGTGAATGTGTGTTCTGGACACCCAACTCATTCCTCCGAAAATGCCACCAGCTGGCACCCCAGGCGACCGATGACTGGTACATGGAGATGTGTTTCTTCTTTCCATCCACTCAGGGGCCAAGTACGTCTGAGCTTCGGCCGACAGAACCTGACTCCCTCGACCGAGCCGACCGGCGAAGAAAACGCCCGGAACCGAACACCGGAACCGTTGGACGGACGTCCACAGCCGGGTGAAGAAATTGGGGGTGTGCACCAGTGGCAAACGTTTGGGGCAGGACACCTCCACCCGAAGATGACACTGCGGCCGACTTCGGAGGGATGGGGTGGTGGCCAAGACGAGCCTTCTGATCTATTGGCCTGGCGCAGAAGTGCCCCAATAAGCCACCCTCCTTAACTAGGGGGCCAACCCCTATACCCGAGCCTTCAGTCGGCCTGTTGGGAGCGTTTGGGTATGCGTTTGAACCCCTATTGGTCACCACCAACATCGCGATGGCCGCTCCTAAAGAAGCGACTCTTCAACGCTGTCGTCCAAAACATGGTACATCTCGCTGATCCGACAGGAGCAAGTGGTGCAACAGTTCCAGAAAAGGTCCCTGTTTGGCGGACTTTAGCAGCACCCGAGGTTTGTGATACAGTGGTTCTGTTTTCTTCAGGTTTGGCATCGTTTCCTCTACTTTCACGAAGTGTTCTTTGGATGATGCTCCAAAAAGAGATCCAAAACTGAAGGGATCAATGACTTTCTGTCCTGCATAAGGCCTTGATCGGCGGATAGAGAGAAGTGTTTAGCTGAGATTTTGGAGACGGAGGCTACAAGAAGTGTTTGATCTCCGAATCGTCTCACTGAAAAGACATGAGACTTCGAGAGTCATCCGTTCTTCTGAACATCGTCGGTCCGCTCCTTCCACCTTCGATTCGGTCCGTCGACTGGCGTCCGTCTCGCGAGGTCGACGGATGGGTCGATGCGTCGACTGGCAAAAAGGCTCAAGCGCAGCACTATTGCAAGGAGTCCGCCAAAGTTCCTTCTGCCAAACGGAATCTTATAGAGGATGTTTAAAAGAACCACATAGACATCCCCAGAGTTGTTCCATGTTGTTCCCTTCAATGTGGGGGGGGGGTTCTTCCGCTTTCCCGTTCCTAACCAAGGCCTCAGACCAGCCTTTTCACGCTCCGGGGTCGCGGTCCGGGGTCGACCGCCTTTGCGATGGGGTCCTTCTATGGGCTGCTGGGTGTGACAGCCGACGCCACGGCGGAGGAGATCAAATTGGCCTTCAAGCGACGTGTCCTGCAGGTCCATCCGGACAAAGGTGCAGCCGTTGGTTTTTTGGTGGGCGAAAGGGTGGTCTAAGCAGCCGCGGTTGCGGCAGAAGCGTGCATCTGAAGCATCCACTCTCATGGTCTCTCATGTATTGAGCATGGTGGTCTAGCACTAGCAGGGCTGAAGCGTCATGTGCTGGTCAGAAGCATTAGGAGTACCATGCAAGAGATCTAGTGGCTGAGTTGGTTTTCGTGTGAACCTGAAGAGAAAACCCTGTGAAGAGGTGGGAGCAAGGAGGCCTTTCATTTGGTCTACCTAGCCTTTGAGACCTTGGCAGACCCAGAAGCCCGGAAGCGCTATGACGATCAGCGACCGACCAAGCTGTTGCCAAAGCAGAAGGCAAAGCCCAAGAAGTCCAAAACAAAGCGGGCACAGCCTTCCGAGCAGAAAGAACGCACAAAGCCAACCCCGAAGCCAGAGCACACGAGTCAGACGTCAGGCACTTCGAAGCAATCCGCAAGTGCATCGAAGGTGTTTTCGCATGACAAACTCTTGACCAAGCTTTGTAAGCTTTTGAAAGGCCTAACGCGAGAGGTTCGCAACGATGTCATCCAGAAAGAGTTCACGCAGCAGCAGCGGGTGCTTCTTGAGAAGTGGATGCAGAATCAGCATGATGCGGAGACAGAGACCCCAGCTGGGGAGACGTCAGATTCACAAGCTGCTTCCACCATGCTGGTGTCCGAAAAAGATGCTTCAGATTCGCAAGCTGCCACACTCCACAGAGGATCAGAAGTGGTACAAGAAGAAACCTGCGATGCAACTTCCAGCACTTTGAGCTTGATTCCTGCGCAGACAAAAGGTAAGTTGATTGCACAGCCTGAGCGGGAGAGGTTTCGGAGAAAGACTCGTCAGAAGAAACGTGCCACAGAAATGCAGGGAATATCATCTAGACATCGATTCAGTTACAGGAGCAAGGTGACCATTGATACACTGCATATTTCTTCGAGGGACTGCGATTTGCCGACCGCCATTGAGTTCTTGATCATCTTGATATCAGTGAAGCAGAGAATGCAAGGTGCCTCAAAGGATTCGGAAGCCTTGTTCAGAAGTCGGCTTGAAGAAGCATTGGAGCAATCTCTAGCTGAGCATGGCAGGCACTGGGATAAAGAAATCATGTTTGGGCAAATGTCCCATTGTGTGGTCACAAAAGCATAATTATTGTTGCATACACTTGTGTGGATTGATGATGCTAACAGTCGCAAACAATCTGTAACACATCGTTGCAGGCTTGCTTCATGGTCATTTTGAGAAACGCTGGCAGGAGCTACACAGACCTCAGCCCCCAGTTTGATTTTCAACAATGCATCAGCTTTTTCATGGGGCCAAAAATCCCGATCTTCTCCCCGACCGTTCGGTCGGTCGCGGAAATTGCGAAGTTGCGCACTCTCATGGCACCCATGCGCCAGTGTGTGACCAGGCCAGGTCTTAGGGGAAGCATCATTTGGCACTACGGCCTTGTTGAGCTTGAAGATTTATGGCTTCGCATTCAAGATGCCATGAAGGAGATGTATGAAAGCACCACAGAAGGCCGCCGTGCAAACGCCTTGCGGAGACTGCGTGCAGCGTATGACGCGCATACTGACAGGCGCGCTCGACACGTGCAGTTTTGGGAGCAAAAGAATATGCAGATGCATGATAAGGAGAATCACCGTTCGAGACGTAGGGCTGGTCCTGGGGCTGGAAAGAAGACACAAGTCCTTTGCAAGGCCGTTGACAGGCTGCCTGTGGTCAGAAGACTTCTTCTCCGGTGGCGAAAGGCATTAATCCAACAAGAGCGTAAGACGCAGCTCGAGCGCCGAAAGCTCTTGCAGCAGCAGAAGAAGGAGCAGCTGAAACGGCAGCGTTTGGAAGCCTTGAACCAAAGGTGCAGGAAAGAAGAGGAAGCTTTGAAGCGAAAGCGTGCCAGAGACGAGCGCGATGCTGAACGTCGAAGGAGGGGAGTTTGGGGTTCCGGTGAAAAAAGACGGGAGGAGAAGCCTTCACTTTGTTGATGGCATGCGGAACCCAGAAGTCCCTACACAAAGCCAAAAAAGTTCTACTCCAAATTGTTTTCGTATGTGCATTAGTAAAACTCCCAAAACCGTTCCTGAAATCAACGCGCCGTAGATGGCACACATAGAATCACATAGATGGACTCAAGAGTCTCTCATGATAACCGCTGTTTTTCATTCGAAGAAAAGACCTGACCTGGTCCTTGAAATTCAGCCTCCGGAGTTTCTTGGAGACTGCAGGACTTCTCCCAGAAGTCTCTCTCTCTCTCTGTCGGGGGTCTCTATAATCTGTCAACTAGGCGATGCAAAAGGCTTCAAATCTTCACTATGTGAAGGTCAGCTATCGGGAGATCGTCAGAAACACTTCGGTTCTGGACGAACGCCCCGTGCCCCAAATCTGCCAGAGCGAGGAGGGAAGCGCTGCGGAAACGGATGAAAGTGGACCTCACGATGGAGGAGATTCTGGGCGCCTTGGTTTGGGAGGATTTCTGCCTTGGTTTCGGTTTTGGCTTTCAGGTCCCAAAAAAACCGAACATGTTGTTTAAGTGAGTGGCTTCATGTCTTCTGCTTGCTTTTGGAAGGATGTCTCCCCAAATCAGCATGTGACTTTGGGACGAGTGGCCACGGTTCGACCTCTTCGTCTGCGGTTCGACCCTCGGAGAGATGCGGCACCAAGGGCCCAGCTGCAGGGCCCCAGTCACCGGTCTCCCAATCGCCCGAGGTCCGGTGAAGCCGGCCCACCTGGTCATTCAGACCTAGGATTCCCCCACCTGCTGCATCAAACAGCATGAATCCCAAAGAACATCAAACAACCATTCCCAAACACTCCATGGGACTGCCATATATGCCTACATTGGGATGGTTTGGGGGCGGAGCGTCTGGGATTGCTTTTTGCGGATCGGCCTGGGCCACCAAAACCGGCCACGTCACACGTGAACAGCGCCTTCTGCTGCTCAGGACCAGCGCAGCCTACCTAGGCCTCAGAACAAATGCGAAAAAAACCGCGTAGACTCGAACAAACACACGTCGTGCTCAGCGTGGAGTGGAGTCGTTGACGTCGGAGATCTCTCCCTCAACTGAACCGCTACTAGTAACAAAGTGCATCGCTACGAACGGAGCGATCGGACGCTACGAGCAGGGCTCCTGGCCATACTACTACTGTAGGAGCATTCTTTCTCCCTGCGGGCGATCGGCACCGATCCAACGGGCAGAAGAACCACCCCAGCGTGGCACAGATCCAACGGGCAGTGGTCGATGGTCCGGGTCTGACTCGTTGGTCCGGTCGTTGGTCCGCCGTCCACGTTGAGCTTCACTGGTTCTTTGTTGTCCAACGCACGGACCTTCGCTGGTTTTGGGGGGTGAAAGAACCTTTCTACCAAGGGTTCGGTGGTGAGCCTAGGCTCCACTGTTGGGATCGCCTAGATGTTTCTTTGCACGTTTCTTTTGCATGCCAACCATGTCATCCAGTACCAAGAATCCCACAAAGATATATTGCTATTATTCTTCCTCCAGTATACTCCAGGGTTTTGGCCAGAGCTCGTAGTTAGGGTATTGAATCAAGGAAGACCATACAGCAGCACAGAGCCTTCCTATGAAAGAGACATAGGTCTTTTGGGTGGCACAGAAAGTGCAGGAACATCAGCAACATAGTTTGCTGCTTGTTCTGTAGCCAGGAAAACATCCAATGATTGCGAATACAATAGTGGGAACAGTTTCTGTCAATCCCTGACCAGTGCCAGGCACATCAACACCCGCGCATCCTGCACCTGTGGCAGACTGATGTGTGAAAAAAGTGGTCGCAGTGGATTGCAGTGGAAGGGGTGGCAGGAAATCCTCATTATTCGCATGGTTAAGCAGTGACACCAACTGCAGCTGTTCTTTCCTTTCGACTGCTTCATGGGATGGAAATGCAGCACAGTGAGGACTGTTTTCAGCACAGGCCAACGCTACGAACGGAACAAGAAGCTACGAACGGGGTTGTTGGCCTTACTACTAGGAACAAGTGCATCGCTTCTAGTAACAAGTGCCTTACTAGTAGTAACAAGAAGCTATTAGTAACAAGTGCCACGCTAGTAGTAACAAGTGCCTTACTAGTAGCAACAAGAAGCTCCTAGGGCTCCTGCCAGCCAGGTTTCCAGCTGTTCCACGTCCGTGTCGTGTCGACTCCCAGGTCGCTGGGTGACCGCGAGGGCACGGAGCTGCTGGAGCGCGTGGAGGGTGCGGTGACCCGCAGCTTGGAGCGAAATGGATGGCACCCGGTGACCCGTCACCGAAGGAAACATCAATCAGCACAGAAGGCGTGGTGAATGAAGGAGAACCCGAAAAGGTCATAGAGTCCAGTTCTTTAAACCCATGAAGGGTCAAGCGTGGCGATGGGTTTGGAGACCGCGGTTGGAATCCTTAAGTGTCCCACTGAACAGTATTAACCACCCAAACAACGAAAGATGACACCGTATGGGTTTGCTTGGTGGGGTCAATGCCTCCGGTCGCTCCGCCATCCCAGCCAACAAGAAACGAAAAAAACCAAGGCATAGGCGCCTGGTAGATGGGACGCGGCTATAGGAGGCATGCAACAGATTTATCGCCACCACCAGGTGTGAAACCTACAATTTCAGTGGCAAGCACTCATGACATAGGATGACATAGGATGACATAGGCCATTCCGACCCGGTCATTTTTTTTGAGGGGGGTCCTCTTCCCAATGAAAGACATCATGTCATACGATCGGGAGGAGGCATGAATTTCGAGTTATATTTCGAGTTATATTTCGGGGGATGCGCCACCAATGCGCCTCGTGGGTAGTCAAGCCTTGGGCTTGGGCGAATACGGGACAGCCTGGGGGTAAGAAGATCGCGCCTGTCAATGTCAATTTTAAGGAAGGTAAGTACAAAACGTCCCAACTTTGGAGTACCTGGAAGCGGTCTTGGAACCAAGTTTTGGCAAGTTGATTTTGGACACTTGTTTTGGTGTGGTGTCAAGTAGGACAAGTAGTCAGGATGGGCACGTGTAAGGCTCCCACATAGTCTAGATGCTTTTTTTTACCACTTTAGACAGCCGTTTGGTACTGGAGGGTCTAGAGACGGCTATCCCCTAAGCCAACGTTGTGTTCCCGGTTGATTTAGACAGGAAATATGCTACAATGCCCGAGGACTCCAACCCTATCCTTTAGACCTCTCAAACCCATCTCAACCACCTTCTCAGGAGGTAGTTGGAGACCCAGGGAATGCCATAACTGGATACAACTGGTGGGAGGAGCGCGGATACTGCTCTTTGGACACAAAGTTCACTCTCCGAGAGGACTATTTCCCGAGGGCGTCTACTATGCGGACCAAACATGTTCGACGGTGAATCCTGCGATTGCCATACAAAGGTGCCACCTTCTCCAGGTACATGTTGGTTCAACAGACAGTATTGAGATGTAGCGAGGTTTTGTGATGTTCCTGAGTTCCTGGTGGCATTTTCTGGAAGGAGTCATGATGAACGTGTCAGATCCGCAAAGAGAGCTGAATGGCTGCATTGGTCATACCAAGTCGTACAGAGACATCACACTGCTCGGAAATGCCTTCCTGCGTGTTGCATGAACCAACCGGTCCTTAGACCTGCTGCTTTGGGTGGCTACTTGACCATGGTGCGCGAAACCGATTGCGGCCGATTGGTCTTGAGTCGGGTCAAAGACATCGGGGAAGCAAGCCTGCACTAAGTGCAGACGTTTCACCAAGTACTACCTGTTTCAAGGGATTTCTTTAGATCTAGGCCACTGAATCTTAGAACTTATGTATCCAGAATCCAAAACTGGTTGGTCACCATATGTTAGTTTGCTATTTGCCGCTGCTGCAGCTTGTGTTCAGAGCGAATTGCTCGTACGGCACCACCAACTTCATCACAGCACAGCACATGTGTTTGATGTGAACCTCCTTTTTCAGGATAGAGAAGGGCTATTCTCATTCTCATCGTATCACATGGAATATCATGGAATGGTTTTGCATGACATGTTGGAGTCTAGCTTTGAGATGTAGAATGTCCACAAGTTCTAGTATACAGGGAAACCTATGCAAGATATGAAATGAAGAATGGCTCCGCTCTAGAACCATAAGGTCTCTTTTTTTGACTTCATGAGAGCTGTAGCGCGATGTTTGCAGCACGGGTTCTCAAGGCAGCTCACCACCGTGCCCCCCACGTGGTGGCAGCAGGGATGGTCTCGGCAACGTGCTGGCAGCGTGGCAGAAGCCGAGTTGTTGGCACCTTTAGCAGAGCTGCTTATGCCTCACACCCCGCCCTTAGAGCTTTTCCGGAGCTTCCCATCACCATCAGGGTGGGCTGGAAACTATTTGGAGCCAGATTTGGCAGCTCATGGAGTACTAAAGGACCCAGAAGCAGCGTTGTTTGTAGAATATGATGGCTACTGGCGGCATGCGGAAAAGTCAGGCTTTGAGACGGACCAGTTGAAGAATGCGGCTTTGTTGGCCTTTGCCCCTCCAGGTTCCAAAGTGATTCGCATCAGCCACACCGATCGCAAACTGGTCAGCTGTGATGCCAACATTCTGTGGTTTTGTGTAGATCCTTGGCGTCAAGGTGATCAGAAAGCATTTCTTGTCACCTTTAGCCATCTCTTGGCCAAGACAGTGGATGGCCTTCGGAAGGATTTGAACCAGGACATGTTGAAAAAGCTGCGATGTCAGCGAGGAAAGGATGCACTGCATCTAGCAGTCGACTCAAAAAGCATTGTTGATGCTGCTGTGAAAGCAAAAGGCCGGAACACAAAAGAGGAGATCTCCTTGTTTTTGCATGGCCAGGGCTTTACTGCGATCCATATTAGCATGATGTTTGAAAGGCAGTTGTCAGTTGGGCAAAGCATTGATCGCAATCTGAAACCAAAGTTGCAATGGCTATCCCAGCTAGGCCTGAGCAAAAGTCAGATTGCAAAAGCCTTGGCTGCTTTCCCTGCAATCCTTGGATGCAGCGTCGAGCAGAACTTGAAGCCGACAGTCCAGTGGTTGCT